TTTCCATCGAATTTGGTTGGGTAGATATTATCAAAATGTCTGTTGAAATTGTAATAAAATCTTTTAAAACTTTAAGCAATAATATCTCAATAGCCACATAACAAAGCTCAATAAACCAATTTTAATTTAAATTCTGCTGATACGTAGAACTAAACCATTAAATTTAATTAGGTGGCTCCGAGAGATATTACCATTCAAAGTTTGATTTGCATATCTTAGTAAATTTGTAATGAAATTTTATTACCGACTCGAAAGCTCTGATTACAAAATATCAACCCTATTCAATTTCGAATGTCTTAGCGTTAACATTAACGTTAACGTTGTTACTAACGCTAACGTTTGCTAGAATCGCCGTTAATCATTTATTTCAATATTGAATTTTTCTTATCATTATGCAAGATGCATGTAGTAATGCATGCAAGAGAATTGCAACTTTCCTATTACAAATGCGCCATCCGGAGTCGCAATCCGTTCTGAAACAAAGTCTTCCTTTTACCAGAGGATTCAGCGATAAAAAAAAATTTAACAACAGAAGAAATCCTTGATTTACACAATCCTGAAGTCATGCCAGATAGCGCACGTAAGCTATCATGCTAATAATATTTTTAACATAATGCAAATTTATTAACACAGCCGATTTTTATATAGCACTAGTTGATTACTCGGAGGAATTAGAAAAATATCTGAAAGATTCGAATATAAAATGGTTTGATTACTCGGAATTTAGTGAACCCAAAATAATTGGAAGCGGTGGATGTGCAAATGTGTATTCGGCTACGTTTCAGGGAAAAGAGTATGCACTAAAAAGCCTAAAGAACAACTTCTCGCTTGATTATAAGCAATTCAAACAATTCAAGCGTGAGATAAGTAATGTCTTACTATTTGGCATCTAAATCCTTAACATTCAAATTTATTGAATATGTATATAATACTATTTATAGCTTAAACTTTTATATAAGACTGATCATCCTAACGTTATTAAATTTTATGGAGTTTCAAGAGGTATAATCAAGAGCAATTTTAATTGAACCCACATTTGAATCATTAACCATGTCCTTATTTTGCTTAATAACTTTAAGATTCATCGACGAATAATTTCATGCTTGTGCTACAACTTGCCAATGGCGGTAACCTACGAAATTATTTAAAAACAAAACAAGATAATGATCGTTATAGAATTTCATGGGTTGAACTCATCAAAATTGCGATGGAAATTACTCTTGGATTGAAATATTTGCACGAAAATAACATTATCCATCGGGATCTAGTGAGTTTAGTTTTTTAAATACATCATTTTTTACTGTATCAACTTAACTATAATTCATAACAATTTTTTAGCATCCTAGGAATATTTTACTAAATAATGATAAAGCTTTGATTGCAGACTTTGGAGTATCAAAAACAATTAGATGATACTGCAACTGCGAGTTCAGATATGATGGGCGTACTAGCATACACCGACCCACGGTGCCTTTACTCAAAAATAAAACGCGATGCGAAATCAGATATTTATAGCCTAGGTGTACTACTTTGGGAACTTATGAGCGGAATCACACCTTGTTTTATGACTCCAAATGAATATATTTCTCAAAATAAAAAGAAATATATTGACATCATTCCCCTAAATGAAGAGAATGACTCTATACTCTCAGATTATGCTGACATTTCTATAAAATGCCGCTCTTATGAACTTGATCAGCGTCCAGCACTAGATGAAATTTTAAAAAAACTTGAAAATCTATCTGAGAAGACAACTATTGAATTTATTACAAATTGCATTGATATAAAGGACCAGAAAACTGCACAGTTAATAACAAATTATTCCGAGCGATTAGATTCCTCCAATAATATAACCGAATGTATAGAAATGAATGAAGGTGAATTGAAAATGTTATTGACACCTATTTTTATAATTTATTATTTCCTTCTATTCAACATAAAACATTTTATTTAGATAATCCAGATGAATCAAATGACGATAACCTTGGTAGAAT